AATATGATTTGAAAGTTTAATCAAATTTTTTAATAATAAGGCGTGGTAACCTAATGGTTTGACCTAGTCCCTTTCAAGCAGAGGTCGTGTGTTGAAATCCAGGCCCGCTTTGTTTTTTTCGAAATTTACGTGTGAAATTTAAAATTACTATGAGCCTTACGCTGAACCTGCACATTGGAGAAAGTTCACAACCCTCGGAAAACATGTAGTCACCAACCCGCATTGGGCCAGCTTGGCAGACTACGAACCCTCGTGTGGGAGGAGACGACGTGCCCAGCACTGGGATATACAAATGGGTTGATGATGATCTAATTTCTTGCTTAAATTTTACTAGCTTTGACCGCCATCTTTGCTTAGTAAAAGTTAAATATGTAATGTGGTTTGCTGCTTGCAGTTAGCGTGTAAATTTAGGTTACGTGTCGCACACGAGGCAATCGCGAGAGCCGAGATTTTTGAGATTTATGAACCGATTTCTATGATTCTTTGTTTTGTTGGAAAGAGCGACTTAAGTAGTGGTCCCATTTAAATTTGAAGAAAATATTCCACCTCTAACGGAGGTAAACTAGGGGATGAATGACATTTGAAGTCGGTTTTTTACTACTCTGTACTGAGACTATTTAAACTGCTTTTAACAGTTTTTTGCTCTTTGTAGGTATTTGCCTTCGATAATAATATACATATTGGTATTATAGAACATTGATTCTACTGATTGCGTTCCGATTTTTATTCTTGATTTCAAGATTTAATTTCTATTGGAGTATAAAATGTGAATTGCCTTGTTATGGAGAATCTATCTATATAAAAATTGTGTATCCACAAACTCAAGTCGTCTTTATTTCATAGGTAAGCGAATTTTACTTGAAATCATCGTACATTAAATGTATTTCAACTAGTTCAATGCGTGGAACTTTTAGGTTACAATTATTCCACGTGAATCTGAATACATGGAACTACTAGAAATAAACGATTAAACTCTACTGCTCATTCGTAAACATCATCATACGAAACTCTTTGGGTTGCTCTTTGTAAATATACATTTGAATACATTTATCAATTACGATATTTATTTCAAACATCTTCGATCGAGATTACCACGCAAGCAAGAGCTAAATGAAATCCTCGGATTGTTGTCATCCAATAAGCTGTATAACCTTTAGTATAAAGTTTAAGTTTCGCTATAGTTTTGAACCTCGTAAAAGGCAAATTTTGAATATCAACTCAAATCTTATTATAGAAGCGTATACATCTCCTTTTAAATAAATGAATTTGTGATTTTGGGACATTTATATTTGAACATAAAATTCTATGCCAATCAATTAAGCTGTTTGGTCTGAATCAGCATCATTTTTTTAACTTAATGATTTAATAGTAGCGGAATTTCTATTAATACTTAATATTAATTTCACTATTGCTTAATTATCATCATTAAACACCGAGACAATAATAATTGTTGTCTCGGTATTGGACTATATTAAGAGAGTCTAAATACCTAATAATTTAAAATTTACGTTTCTTAGTTTTTTTACTGCGAATATATGAAAGCTATATCTGTGGTTTGGTACAAGAAGTGTGTACCTAGACAATATAGACTTAGACACTTCTTGTACCAAACCACAGATAATACCTAACGTTTTAAATAAGTTACACACTAAATCAAATATTGTCGTAACTCAAAAATGGAGGCATTGAGAAAACACGATTTGAAAATTCAAAAAGGTACTGAATTAATCTTGTTGTCAATAATGGGATTATTTTTATTATACATAAGTAATTAGTTATTCACTTATAAATGAGAATTTAAGTTTACAGGTTCCTTTCAACAATTTTTTGCAATATCTAATCGTGTTTTCTCATTTTCATTTATTTTTGAGTTACGATAGTATTTGGTTTCATATACGAAGTGACAAATTTAATTTTTGTTTCCTTTCACAATGAAACTTAGTTGTAAGAACTGAGTTACAAAATGTAACATTTTGTTTGTGGAACACTGGTGCTCAAACTAGGTAGGTAAAACCTCAATGTTTTGAGACGCCAGGCTTCCCTTTCCGAAAAAATAGTAAGAATGAGAAATAAAAACTTGTGGTGAAGTTAAAATTAAAGTTAAATTTAACGAACAAAAATATAAAAGTTAAATAAAGCCAAACCCTAACAATTGGAGTTGTATGTCAATTGTGTGGTATGTGTTTGCTTGTGCGTGATGTGTAATGTTTATGACTACAATAAATAGATAAGATTTATTGCTGACATATACAAAAGTGAACGAAACTGCCGATATGGTGAGTTTGTTTGAGAAGAAGCAAAATTCCAAACGTTGAAACGAGCTTGCGAGGAATGACTAGAGAGCCAACGGGATTTGACTATTATCGTCGTCTGTCAAAACATCTTTAATGTAGCTCAGAGTAATTAGGAATTCGTCGAAAATGGAACCCACCCAAATTTCAACGATCTTTATCTCTCTAAAAATCATAAGTCTGTAATTTTATTCGTTATATTTCACTAGCATAGCCATAAATCTCGTTATAAGCTTAACATTTTTAAAAACGAAATTAACTATGTACTAAATTTATATAAGATTCGATGATTTTATTATTGTGTATTAGATGGAATTTACGAAATGCGTCTCGTTTTGAGATTGTGGGCTTTGAAACGCCCATTAATTACCACGCTATTTTCGTTTAATCCCACCCTGCGATCCACTGCCGCCTCGTCACCATGTCGAAGTTAGCAGACTTTTTTCTACTAAAAACATGAGATTTTTGGCAAAAATTATTATATTTATACTGTGTATGGCTCAAATATGAAGAACGCCCCACTACTGTTATTATTTAGTTAATGTTTCTCTTTTGTTTGACATTTAGTTTGTGTTACTGTTATTTATGTCTGCCAATTAACGCTCGTGTTGTGGTTTTAAAAAAAACAAACTCGGAAAATGATATTTAACGCATTTGCAAAAACTTTTACATATTCTAAAACCATTTTTCATAACGCTTTATTGAAGAAGGTAGGCGCGGTTACTTATTAAACTTTATTTTTCTTTCAATATCCGTGTAACTAATAATAATAAGTACTTTATTAAGTATAAACGTGCATGCATATAAATAGCGATTTGTGTAAAATCTCGACGAATAAAATTCGATGAGTTTTAATCTCTATTTTACTATAAACACTATCCAGATACTTAAGACATTTTTTCAACTGGTAAGTTGAAATGCTCCTTAGATAATGTTTTATGAATGTTGTTTTTTTAAATGTCATTAAAGGTATTTATTTCATTAGGTTTGGTTATATTAGTGATACATAGGTGTACCAGTAACTTTCATAAAGATCTACTCCTCCAACAAAAGTCGTTCTTTGTAGTTGACTGGAAGTGTTTTGTATCTAAATGTTGTCTGTGTTTTATTTGTCGGAAGTAATTCAAACGTACTCTTTCATTAAATACCATTGAAGTTACCATCGTTTTAGAAATACACATATTATTCCTTGTAAGCACATACAGTTTTGTAAGATTTTACGTGTACGCATTGTTAAAATCGCATCGGAACAAATATTTGTGGTTGAAATGGAGCCAAGAGTAGATATCACTTTTTTTCTGAAGACGTGAATAAAAATTAAATGTTTATTATTGAATCTGGCTAATAGCATACAATAAATCTTTCAGATTACTGTCCAGTAATATTTGCTACACTTACTCCATTTAATTCTATACGTTTTTCAAATAGTGGAAGAAATTGTGTTTATTATTTAACTTTCTGATGACGAAGACCGATTTCCAGTAGAGAGACATGCAAAGGTATATGCAGTCAGTGTTCATGTAATTAATCTGTGTGAAGTGCTGCGTACAAAGAAATTTGAAGCAAGAAATAGGCAACATTTATAAACAATATAATTACTATTTACGAAATATATGTATCTGCAGTTTTATCCGAAAATAACAGGTCAACAACTGGATCAAGGGTATTCTCTAACCCAATTAGATATTGTGTTATTGTTTTATTCAATAACCAGTTGATGTCACATATTGTAGCATTCCTTGACCAATATTTCTCCATATAGAAACGAGAAAAATGGCCTGCCAGCGAAGATGTCGCATTTGTACCAATTTTTTGGTTCAAGAATTTTTCTCGAGTGTCAAGATGCAGCAAATAAAATATTGGTCGTGAATTGGAGAAATGAATCGATCTCGCTCTTATATAGATGATTCTGAAATGTTATCTCTTTCACCCTAATAGCCGGCTGACAAACATGTATCAGCGGTTAATAGGTGCGCTCACGCAGCTGTTGCGAACAAATCAGCTCGGATATAGCTGACACTGTCAAAAAGCTAACACGTTGGCGTATAGCGAGAACGCTGAGCGATCATGGGCTACTTGTATTCTGTTGCTTATCGCACTGTTCAGTTCAGAAAAAGGAGAGTTTGACTATTAATTTCAAGTTTATCCGATTTTATTACTTACTCGGACTATAAGTGGTACGCATTAGGTTTGAATGAAATCTGTAGATTCAACATTGAAATCTTCACAATTAGTTTATTTATAACATTTACATAAAATATCTCATTCACGTTTGATTTACAATGAAAGTTGCTCTTCATGTTTTGAGCAAGGCGTCACGGCCCTTGTGCCTTGTACCGTCTCCTGCTGCCGCGAACATTACGAGGGTCGCTCGACGTTCATTCAAGATCGGAGAAAGCATCCTACGTATTTAAAAATAGATATTGTACACTATTTATTGGCTATCTCTCCGGGATTCGATTTAATATTAAATCTAGAAAAAATATAGTACACACGTGTTTTACGATGCATGTTGATTTCTACGTCAACACATAAACATTTTCTGAATTGCTCTTGAATTGAAGTGCACTGTCGTCGGCAATTATTGTTGCAATTAATATTTGTTTTTATTAGAGTAATTTTGTTTCAAATATGTATTTTTTAGTTCAGGCTACATTTGTACAAATAAAGTTTGGTTGTAGCTGGTTTTTACGTTAAATGTTTGTGCAGGAGCTGTCAATTCACGCGGTGTCTACGCATGAGTTGCTGAAGCCAAAGGATGAACCTTCGTATTCTTTGGCAGCGTCGTCGAACCTCTGTGCGGTCAACTTGCCTCATGCAGGTCAGTGTTTATAATAGGAGTGTCTATTTCATGTTTACTTTTGTTAATCGTGATTTTGTAAGTTCGCGACTTCAATACTAAGTTATTTATTCAAATTTTTAATATGACATCGACGCAGTAATCGTAAATTAACGTTTATGACTACAAGGCAATACTCTACCAACAGATTGGAAAGTCTTTGTTGTTGCAAAGCAATCGTCCAGAAACAGCTTTACTTTTTTCAGACGTTTATACGCGTCTATCAAGCGGAGGCATGATTTATTCTGTCTTAAGGAAATTTCTTGAACCAATTAACAAAAAATAATTCACGACAGGATTTAATTCACGTCAAATTACTGTAACGGTAATATTTTTGTAAACAGTGTGTATCTACTTACTTAAGTCATTGAACTTGAATGAAACAAAACGAATTCCTTTAAAGAAAATGGGATTAAGGGTTAAAAAAGGCAAGCGGAGAATTTAAGACAAAATTCAGTTGAATAAAACGTTTCACCTCTATGTAAGGTAGCCTGTCCAATGACTTTAGGTGTATCATCTTACTCGAGGGTTGCCATTGCCATTCGCCGCCGGGAGCAGATTTCAAAGAAATACAACTCCATCAAAAATAGGAAATGTTATAAAATGTAACTCGGGCTATCATTGGTTAATTATTGGACTGGCTAAAGTATTGACTCCAAATTAAGTTTATATCCAAATTTATTAATTATCGAGACACTGGAGTTTCGTGTTTTTAGTAGTAACCTATAAGTTTTGATTTGTCATTGAGTCAGTGAATCAAACTACATAGGTGGGATTTGGGAAATGTGTTATGTAAGTATTATTATAAAGTGTATTACATTAAAGTAGCATTTCGAAATTTGGCATTGTGTACACGGACGAGTATTATATATAGTTACGTGTGTAAAAAATACTTACGTGTGTAAAAATTGCATCCTAAATTCTACCTACTTGGAGCTTAGTGGATGCATTTAGTTGCTAATTAATAACAGTCAGTTGTACGAGTATTCTTATATCTATTCAATTATGAGTCAAAGTTGAATGTAATCCGTCTTAACAAAAAGAAGCCCAGTAACAAAAATCGAGCAAGAGAAACTTTTGTTTTAAATTTAAAATGGTCAAAAGCCATGCTTGTATTTTGATTTCGAACGAAGTGCACAATAAGTAAGTCACTGTTGGATTTTTAAGTTTCATGAACGAGTAGCTTTGAAGTAACTCACACGTTCGCGTTTGCGCGGTCTTAGGAATTAATTTACGACCAAACCAGTATTGTTCATTCAGAACGTTCTCGGGTTGATTGTCGATATTAAAAGTGTCAAACCGCGGCTGCCGGAAATTCATTGATAGATTTAATCGCCCTGCACTGAAATAACGTACGACGCAATAGGATTTGATTCGAGGAGTAAATTGCTAAGTCATTAATGCCGTCCGGTCGCACGCACTAAAAACTAGTGCTATTTTCAGGGAGCTCACTACGATCCTTGAATTTCGAAATAAAAGCTGATTTACGTCACTATGCACATGCTAAGTTTATTGCGTTTCAGTTTGATGCTTAGCAACACTACAATACTCCCCTTCTTGATTCTCGTTTTTTAAATCGACTCTTCCGTGCTTCGCAGTTGTTTCTACAAAATTTCTGTGGGCGTGTTCTTCCATGGGCGATTCATTAAGCACCCTTCGTTTACATTTGACAACATGAAACAACTTTTTCTAGGTTTTCTTTTATATTTTAGCATTTTGCGCCCTCCAAAATTTACTAAATTTTTAAAGGGTTTTTTCTATCTAATATATTTTTAATATCACGCCTCCGTTTATTAAAACATTTAATGTGTTTTCCTAAATGTTTTTCTAGTCAAAACTAATTGCAATAGTGATAACTTTTCATAAGGGAAGATAAAAGATTAAGAGGTTGTTTAATAAAGAAGATCTTTATGTAAATATTGTCCAGTTCACATTTTCCCGTCCAAATAAGTAGTCTATAGATTGCTCAAAGCCCCGATTGGGTAAGACAATGATGCAACAGTATAACAATATGATAATACTTGATTCTGGCAACATTTAGCATTTTGTTCTTAATCTTGACTTAATTCTACTAAATAAGTCAAATTATTAAATAAAACGTCGAGAGAAATCGATATTTCATTATGACTGCATGTGTCACGAAGCAGGAATAATTCCTTAGAAATATACTTTCTAATTTGTTATGTCTCTATGATGAGTAGTTTGAAAGTAATAATTGTTACAAAGGTTTTGCATTTTAGATGCGTCATACAATGAAAATCTACATAATATTCTGCAGCTGAGGCATGTTTACATTAGAATAGCTGCATTCTATGCAAGCTAGTTGTACCACCAATGACATCATTGTGTTGCACCTCATAAGCTCGTGTTGATGTGTATGCAGATATGAATTAGTCGAATGCTGTAAAACAATACTCTTTAGCTACGATTGTGATCGTAAAGTCGCCCGTGTCGAATCCGGTACAAATAGGCAGGTGTACACTCTCAGTTTTAATGTATGTGCACCTAGCACAGTTTACACCTAAATCGATTGGATATCGAAAGAAATCGATTGGACTTGTGCGCAGCGATAATTCATTTACAACAGTTTTATCATTCATTACATGTGTTGATAATGTATTTCGACACTTGGTGTATTTTCTACCAGTTTTAATATTTTCAAAAAGTTCTTAAGTATAAATTTGCGCCGATCTTAATCACTGTTGATGTTTTTATGAACATCTGTGACGATAAATATTGAAGCAAGCACTACAATGAACTAAATTAAATACTCGAGCACAAAAATATTTTCTGAAAATAATTAAGACAGACATTTTCATGAAGTCTGACAATAAAGAATTTCAGAACCAACATTTTAATTTTAATCACCTTTGGAAATAAAGAATGACCCGAAAATTAAAACTATAAAATAAAAAAGAGTAAAAGGCACCATTACAGATATTCGCTTTTCGATTAATTTGAGAATAACTTCTATTCTCTACCTTTGGGAAATTTTAGAGTTGTATGACAGAAAGAGTGGTAATAGTGTGTAGGCTTATGACCTGCTGTGCTTAGAGACGCTTAAGCAATTTATCGAGTCAATCTCCCCCAATTAATCACGATATATACAAAGGAGCTTCTGTTTACATTTTTTGTTACAATACAAAAGTTGTAATATTCACATATCATTTGCATTTAAGAATTTAGTTTCCAAAGTTTATTCATCAGAAGACAAGTACTGTTTATTCCAGGTTCTACGTTTTCGTTTGGTATTTGCTTATCAAATTGTAGGTAAATTGAGGTTTATAGCAAAGGCTTATCTAAAGCAGCGACATTGGTGGTATGTAGCAGACGCATCTTCTTTAGCTCCTGACATCGACTAGCCGTCACGTCCTCTTAACCCCCACTGCTCTTGTAGCAAACGCATAATTTTGATCTAATCCTACATATTAAGTAATAACTTATGCAATAGATGCGTCATTCATTGTTTTCTACATCTCGGAACGATTTTGTTTTTACCTTCGCCGATGAAGCGATAGCTTACTGGGAGACTCGGTACAGGAATCCGCATGCGTTTTTAAAATGTTGTAATTTAATACTGTTACATAGTTGTAGTGCCGCGGAGACGTTTGACTACGACAGGATCGTATTAACTAAGATTATCCAACCACTTGAACGGTACTAGCGAAGGACGATAAAAGTGAAGTTTTTATATGCTATTTGAACTGTTCCTTAAATATGCAATTCCGTACTTTAAATATAAAAGTTGCATGTATTTTCCTTATTTTTATTATTTTACATGTCTTCAATTCTTATGTTAGTTACTAATTTAAGGCGAGTCGTAATCGGTAAAAACTATTTTGTTAGTATCAAATGGTTTAGGTATTTACTATTAAATAACGGCCGTACAAAAAATGTACTATACACATAAGGATATTGTCTTTTATACAAAAGGGGTTAGCTTAAAAATCTAATTCAAGGTTACTAGGTGTGATTAATACACTGGATAAAAACGATAGCAAGAGAGCAAGGAATATGCAGCAGGCAGTGTCGAAGAGAAACTCGTATTTTGGCGAAAATGTATAATGTTTAGAAAATAACGTTGACACTCTCACAAAGGACAGAAAACAATGGATATCATATAAAAAAAAAATATGTAAAAAAGCCTTGTCGCCAACACTGGAGTTGTCGAAAATACCTCTGTTATTTTTCTAAAAGCTTGATTCGTACTTTCCACATCTAACCTCTGTCTTCAATTAATGGCAACAAATGTACTAAAAAATACTAATTAAGGTTCTTTAAGAAGAGTTGATCCCTATCAAATACAATTTTTTTTAATAGAGTGCGATTCACATTTGTGATAGCAAGTCCTGTGACAATATTTTTATGAGACTTGCAATATTTTTTTCCTGGATTAATTTTGTTTAATTCTTTTATCAAGAATTTTGAAAACAGCGGGCTGTTTGTGGATTTTTTTGATACCAGGTGACAGGGCGAATAAGCCGTGCGCCTGGTGGTAAGCGTTTACAGGTTAGTTTACAGGTACAAGAGTACAAGAGGTTTACAATAGTTGCAGTACCTTTAAATCACAAAAATGTTAGGGTCACTACTACCATTGTGCCCGTCACTCGGAGACATAAGTTGACATGTGCCATGTCAAAGTCAAGCATCTTCAAAACCGGAACGCAGTAATTTCAAATACTGCTTGGCATCAAAGTGGCAATACTTCCTTGGACGATTCTTTCACAAGGAGTTTTATTGCTGTCATATTGTGCAAAGGTTATATTTTTTTTAAGAATAATTCTTCGTACGTGTGTCTAAAGAAGAATAGTGTATTTCGCAATAAGGCATTTTCAGAGTGAGGCCTGTACAGATACTTTTAGTAGGTCATTTTGCGAATTTTAATTATTTATATTTTTTTATTTCCTCTTTCGGAAGATTAAATTGCCAATTTTTGTATCAACGTCATCTACGCTTTTAATTTAATTTTAAAACGTCCTTGA